GCTCGAACTCCTTAGAGCAAAAAAAAAAAAAAAAAAAACTAGTGCTAACTTACTAGATTAAGGATGTAATGATAGCATACAAGTAGGTTTCTTATTGATTCTTTTTCTACTCACCCATTTTCCATTTTTTTCAAGTATCCGTAGGTTGTCGGTTGAAGTGAAGGAACATTCAAGAGCTGTGTAGTGACATATGGGAGTCGTTCCTGAGCGTCAACCTATCTTTATATTTGTGTTTTATGTATTTCATTTTGTAAATGTAATCTCAAACTCATTTTTCCGTTTGTAATAAATTTGAATAGGATTTCATTTGTATTTATTTACTTTAAATTTTATCAAATTTTCATATTATATTTTTATTTCACTTTTATTTTTATCTTTTTAGTCAGTCTAAAATTAAAATAGGGTCGGGACATATAACAATAAAAATAATTTCCTCAATACTCATCCACTGGTGTCCATTGTGTCAAATCGAGATTCTTATTTCACCTCATAGTTGTGGAGAAGCATCCTTTGATAGACATCGAGTTCGCGACTAGAGTATGACATTTCACCTATAAACAGATGGACAAACTAAACATCTGAACCAGACCCTAGAGGATATATTGTGGGTATGTATTCTAGACTATGCAGGTAGCTGGGAAACTTACTTGAACCTCATGGAGTTCATGTATGATAATAGTTATCAAGCGGTGATTAACATGACACCATTTGAGGCCCAATATAATAAAAAGTGTTGGTCCACAGGATGTTGGGATAAAGTTGGAGATCACAAGTTCATGTTGGGTTTTATGTCTAAAAACTGAAAATTCATAGTTGGTAAATAAAAACATATTCTATTTTTCAATAAAGTTATTATTGATGTTTATTCAGTAAAGTTTGTTATTGAATAAAGTGAATTTTACGATTACTAATCTAAATCCAATAAACTAATAACACTCTGACCATACTATGATTACTTAAACTATACGTAGAGACATAAGAGTGGATTAAGTTCAAGTATATAGTCAAAATGATCTATTATAGTACATGGATAAAACTGAGTACCTTGTTTTGGGAACATTATGGATGTGGCTCACTTTTGTATATAATATAAACAATGTTATCACTAAATTGTACATGCGAAGACATGTGAGTGGGGGTGTCCTATGCAATAAGTATTGCATAAGATCGGACCATGAAGAAAATCACTCACTTTATAATGTCGTTTATTGTTGAGATTAATTTTTTCATTTGATGACCTAGGTAACTCGATCTTAATCCTGAGCTAACCATGAACTCTTCTTTATTCGGAATGATCCTTAGATTTGCATGGGTGAGAGTGGCTCGAGTTCGCCGACTCAATAAGCCTCCCATTTCAAGGGTAAGACTGGGTGAGCAGCTGGAGACATAGGGTGCAAGATGAAATTCACTCCTACTCACTTTTAGGGATAGTAGAGAGGTTGTTATCTTAAGTACGAACTCCAAGTCTTGAACAAGGGGCCCCACCCTCTCATTGGTTTAAGAGAGATTCAGTTTACTGGTTGGACCACAAACTAATTGTTCAATAGAGAATCAGTAATCAGTAGAACATAAGAAACAAGAAGTAACTTCAGGGGTAAAACGGTAAAACGGTAAATTGACCCAGCTCTAGTTACGAACAACATGTGAATGATCAACTCACTAATCATGGTTATATCAAATGGACAGAAATATATCTATAGTAAGGGGAGTACAACTACTAGGCTATAGTTGAGTGTTCTAGTAGTTATTGAATGTTGGTTATTGAGTTTAGCCGGTTAATCTCGAATCGTTGGAGCCCATGATCTATAGGTCCATTAGGTCGCCCTACTAGCTCATATCGGACTAAACCATAAAACAGTGTGACGAGTGAGTTTGAAGTGTTCGAATTCAAGTTAAGGAATATGCGCTAAATATATACGATATATTTAACTACATTTTTGTTTTATTTACGAATTAAACAAAAAGGGAGAATCAGAGATATTTAAATAAGATTTAAATATTTTAAACAATATGTGTCGGAATTAATCAAAGTTGCATGCTTGCCACGTAATCCCACACATTTGAATGGAAATTTGAGTGTTAAAATTTGGTAATCTCAAATTTGCATGAACATGCAAATATGACTCTATAAATAGAGGGATCAAGGTACATGGAAAGTCTTCTCGAAAAAACCTTGAGAAAAACCCTCACAAATTCTCTCTTCACATATACTAAATTCCTTCCAAGTTTAGTCACTCACCGGATTCTCCAATCCCGTTCTAAGGTCGGAGAATAGTAGAGAAGACACTAGTAGTGATTCGAAACCGATTCGTGAGAAAAAAGGAATTTGAACTACAAAAGGTTAGTACTCAAACTTCTTGAGTTTTAATGATTATGAACCTGCTAGCTAATTTACTATAATTGATGTATTTAGAGTGACTAAACTTCAAATTGCTTTCACATGTGTTATAATAACACCATCAGTTCAAGCTACTAACGAGGTTATCCAAAAGATAAGAGTTAGGATCCATATGGCTCAAAGTAGAAAAAAGAGTTATATCAATGTGATGAATGATCTAGAGTTGGCCGTTAAGGATAAGGTATTCCTAAAGGTAGCACTTATGAAGGGCATCCTCCAATTTGGGTGAAAAGGCAAGTTGAGTCCATGCTTCGTTAGACCGTTTGAGATTTTAGAGCGAGTTGGGCAAACCGCTTAC